CAAAGCAAGAAAGATTCAATGACACGGTAACAATAATAACGAAATGAAATTGAATACTTTAAACAGTTTCTTATAACTTGAATATGAATGCTATTCGTTTGCGTTTATTTATGATGTATTGTACTCGTTGAGAATCTTATTAAATTAATGATACATAAAATATATAAGAATATCTTTGAGCTGTGTAAACGTATTATATCAATTAATTTACATATTCAAGAGTAAGTACATGTTAATATATCTATTAAGTACATATATCTATTAGTACATTTACATACCTATTAATATCTCTTTCAATTTGTGAAATTCGATATTTTAATGAAAGAACAGATTCAGTTTAACGATGTAATTAAAATGAGTTGATAACATCATGAACTTCAAATGAATGTGATACGTTCTCCGCTACAAGATCAACTTCAAATAATCCCCCAAAAAAGTTTAATTTCACTAGAACAATTAGCGATATAAAGTGAGGAGTGACATTTGATTGATGAAGGTCATTCTCACAAATAATACAACTAAATAATTTATCTGAGGTAATAAGCACATAATTAATGCGAGAATCCTTCAGCAACCATAATAATTCACGTTAACGCTTGAAGAATATTGAATGCACTTCTCGGAAAATCCGTATTTGTGTCGGCTATAGAAAACTTTCCAACCGAAAGGTTCTCATGACAGCTTCATTTGTTCAAAAACCAGCGAATATTTTTTTTCCTATCCTATTCACTAAGTAACAGGAAATATACTTTCAAGAGATCCTGTAGAAGTATGAATATGCTTCAAATGCGTTTGGAAAGCATTCAAATCAGTCCATCATCCTGAAGTGTTTCCGACGACAATGTGCATTCACAAAATTCCTGGTAGCCAACGAAAGCCAGTAAGAGATTCATTCGTACAAACAAATAAGTGATATCAAGGAAAAAGATTCAAGAAAACAAATAAAATAGTTCATTTCACAGCTACCTGTGATAATAAAGTTGATGTTTCTGTTGTTGTTAGAAGAATGAGGTTATTCATGTTTGGTGATTGATTCAACGCATCCAACTGAAATGAGTGCAATTAATGTTCTATTAAAAGCACAGCAAGAATCATTGTTGGCAATGCAGAACACATTACTGTGGACTTCAGCGATATTGCTTAACAATTGCTAGAGAAATATGAATCATTACAATATCTAATATCATATAATACAACCTGTATGTGGTTTTAGAATTAATTTATCAATATTTTCGTTGTTTCGTTACAATATCTGATTCTTGAAGATATTATCAAAGAATTCGAGCATATGACCATGGACAAGACAGGGAATTATTGTTGCAAAAGGATTGGCAATTGACCTGAATGCTGCCTCAAAAGGATGTGTATGATCCGATCAGATTATTTAACGGATTAATTTCAGATAAAGTCAACGATAATCGCAGTAGTAAATACGCAATAATGTAACATTGAGCTTATTAGTATGAGATAACTTCGAGATAATTGGCTTTATTTTCGAATATTTTCCTCATTGGTAATCATATTTGTTCGATTGAACAGAAACAAAAATTTCACTGAACACTGAAGATAAAATCAGTGTTGTGTTGAAAAAAAAAA